TCACTTCCCAATTTGCCTCCTCCAAACAAAACCACCATGGACATGATGAGCCCCACCACCGCCTTCGAGGCCAATATGTGCCCCGATCTCAAGCGTATGCACAGCGAGTCGGATGTCTACCGCTGCACAGAAGCGGGCTGCCACCGCGAGTTCAACCGCAAGTACACGCTCGCCGAGCACGTCAAGACGCACACCGGTGAGCGTCCCCATCTGTGCCCTGTTCCTACCTGCGGCAAGCGCTTCAGTACGTCCGGCAACCTCTCGCGCCACAAGCGGCTGCACGGCTACATTGAGCCGCTCAAGTGCCCCGTTCAGGGCTGTATCTGCACCTTCCCGAGCAACATCAAGCTCGAGAAGCACATGAAGTTCCACTACGGAAGCGACGTCAAGGTGTGTCTGGTTCCTGGCTGTGGTAAGACCTTCACCACGACGGGCAACCTCAACCGTCACCGAAAGAACCACCACGGCATTGCTACCGCTGGCTGCACGAGCCCCACGTCGTCTAAGGTCACCGTCGTTGGCAGCCCTACCGCCGCCGAGCAGTGGATCCCGACGGCGCCTCTCGATGACTTTACCCTCTGGTCAGATACCCTCAGTGCCGAGCTTGATTTTACTGAGACGGCCACCAACCAGGACCTGCTGGAAGCTCTCGAGTCTTTCCTCGACGAGGACGAGCCACTGCAGTTCTAAAGAGTAGCTGACGTCGTTCGACGCCGTGAAGACCGGCGTCCTATTTTATTCTGAGTAGCACGAATGTAAGTTAAAACAATCCAACGCCTTCAAAACAACGAAGTATCTTGTTCGCTCTTGAGACTTTTTCAACGACCAAAGTTTCGGCATGAAGCACAGCCGCGTTCGCCTTGGCTCTCGCCGACGGGGGCATCATATTGAAGACACGGATTATTCTCGCTGGCAGTGACAAACGCGAGCTGCCCAGTCTTTCATCGCACGCGGTGGGGTGTAGCTAGGCTTCCCTAGCGATTCGCTTCAAGCGATGCCCCAAGCAGACCTCGTGGCTTGTGTTTATGCGCTGGGGTACAGTCGCCACATGACCGGATGTACACGAACCGTGTCAGTGGACACTTGTAGGCCGCAGCTGTTTGGCGTTGTTTGTGGCAAAGCGCGCGAGTCGTGACAACCTCGTCAACCATGCGTAAGTTTTCGGTGCTGGTCTCGCAACACTCGGCCAGATTGCACCTCGGTGTCACACACAGGGTCATCGCGCACGGCGATCAAATCCGGAGACGATGATCCATGTCCACACCGATTCAGTGACCGAAGTCCCGCCACGAGGCCGCTCTCAGTCGCAACGCCGGACCAGCTCAGCTGACGGTGCGGACGCCAAAGAGCTGCAAACAACACTCACTCATTCTGCAATTGGTTGCTCCCCACCAACAGCTAAATCCCCACCTCAACCGATACCATGCTTCCGTCTACCGAATCGACCATCAAGACGTGCGGCCTGAAGCGCCAATTGTCCGACACCTCGTCCGTGCACGCGTGCACCGTGCCGGGCTGCAACCGGCAGTTCACCCGCAAATACACGCTCATGGAGCACACGAAGACACACACCGGTGAACGCACGCACATTTGTCCAGTGCCCACGTGCGGTAAGAGCTTTAGCACGTCTGGCAATCTGTCCCGTCACAAGCGTCTCCATGGCTACATTGAGCCGCTCAAGTGCCCCGTTCAGGGCTGTATCTGCACGTTTCCGAGCAACAATAAGCTGGAGAAGCACATGAAGTTTCACTATGGCACGGCCAACAAGATCTGTGTAGTGCCTGGGTGCGGCAAGACCTTCACCACAACCGGAAATCTGAACCGTCATTTGAAAAACCAGCACGGTCACAAGCAGGACAAGGCGCCGATCACACCGGTGACAACGGATCTGCCTCCACTCAACAGTGGAGCGAGCAGCCCCACAAGTGCGGAGCAATGGTTCCCCCTCCCGACAAGTGATATTGATTCGGTCTGGAGCGAAGACGTGTCGTCATGGACGTCTGCATCAACCACGGGATTGTTCGAAGATGTTTGGAATCCGGTGCTGCTCGACACATTAGTGAACATGTTGGACGACCAGAGCGCATTCTCATGTTAGGAATATGATCAAGTTCCGAATAATATGTTAAGTAAAAACAACGTTGAGCATGCAACTATTATTTTTGGTAGCTTGTACGACGCCACTTGACTTTCTAGCTTCCTAGACCTATTTCGCTGCGTCTTCGAATCGTGGCTGGGGGTTGTAGTTTATCTTGCTAGGCGACTCGCCTAAGGCGAGTTTGGAGGTTGTGCACGCTCGCCAGACGAGATTTAGGAAACGATTCTCGTTTGATAAACACCAATACACATGGAGAAGCAGCCAGCAATAATCCCGTTTCCACGTGGTGGCGCAACTACATCGCAGAAGCAGCAGGTAAATGCATGGTGAAATACCGTTTTAGCGACTCGCCCTTCCCCTCCACACATCGCCGCGAGGATCTTGGCAATGGTGTCTCAAGCACATTAGCCGGTTGTTCCTGGCGTCCCTGGAAGCGTAGGGCTGAAAAGCCTACATGAGTCAATTCCTGGACAGACATGTTCACCGGCTAGTGAAAATCCACGAGAACAAAGCTGCTTGCACCCTTGTAAACAATACTGAAAAGCCACCTGTCGATTCATCATGGTTATCGCTTGAATATATCGAGTGTCCCCGAACACTCTCCCTCCAAGATGAAACACATGCCGGCCGGATATCTGATAGAGCGGATGGAACAGTTTACTAAGGTGAGCCATTCTCACATTCCCAGGGAAGGTACCACTTGACCATGAACCTGCCGCCGAGTTACTACACCATGAACTCAGTGTTCTTCAACATACCAGTGCCACCGATGCACCAAGCCTTCCTCCCAATGCCAGCGTTCCAACACCAGTATAACCAGAACACCCGGTTTGCCAAACCCAGCAAACCGCTTGCACGTAAACGAAACCACGCGTGTCCTGTGCGTTCGTGTGGCAAGCGCTTCACGACGTCGGGAAATCTGTCACGCCACAAAAGACTGCACGGCAAGATTGATCCGCTGAACTGCCCAGTCGACGGCTGCGTCTGCGAGTTCCCGAGCGCGAATAAGCTGGAACGGCATCTCAAGTTCCATTACGGCGGGGACGTCAAGGTGTGCCGCGTTGAAGCGTGCGGCCGGACGTTTAGCACGACCGGTAACTTGAATCGTCACATGAAGAAGCACCACGGAGGAGTGGCCTCCCCCACTGCTGCTACCTCTGTAGTTACTCCTACACATGACTACAAAACGAATACGGAGGCACGGAGTCCTTGTGCGAGCATCAGCGGCGAATCCGGCACATACTCGGACACTTCAGTTGGACCAATTTGCTCCACTCCGTCGGAGACGGGAGCCAGTGTTTTGTTTGACTGCGTATGGAATACCGACCTACTAGACACGCTAGCGTGCATCCTGGACGGCGACGATGAGCCGGAGCGGGAGAAGGCAAGCCGATGGTAGTTGGGTATCTATAGGAACGCGAAATAATACAATCCATTGTGCTGAAATTCAGTGACAGACTTTGGTGTTTGAATGCTACCCGGTATTGATACGCTCAGACTCCGAGTCAGAGGGACGATCGATGCCAGCGTACAATGTTGCAATCTGCGTGCTTAGGCTCCGGTCGAACGTTGAGAACCAGCAGTGTTGTCGTTATTCAAACGATGCCGCACGTGCCGTTGTTCACGGCCCGTCGTTGGCAACGACTCGTTGCCATGGCTGTTGACGATCCTTTGTCGATCCACCACTTCTAGAGTGACTCTAGGACACAATCAGCGGTGATGATCGCGGCGATCTGCCCGTCAGGTATTACTTGGCTACATTGCTGCCTGCAATTTGCTGGTCGCTCATGTTGAAGACCCCAAGATCGGGATTTGAAAGCGGCGGAACTTGGCAGGATTCATTCCGCGTGGTGGACATCGGCTGATTCTGCAGGCGCTGCGCGGGCAGCCAGACTCCTGGCGATCGATCTTCCATCGCCGGCTTGGCCACCGGACCATCTTCGCAGCGAATGGCACTGCGGGCTGTCAAACGACGACCTTCCTGCGTGTAGGAGCGCGGCGTACCAGCTTGAGGTGTGACGATAAACTGCTGTCGGTATGTATCCGATCACGTGTAGAATGGATCCGCTCCGTCGTGTGCGGACCAGAATCCCGGCCAGCCAACGCTACTCGTCGGACAGAGGTGGCCCGTGGCTGCTTCTTTCGAGTCCTGAGTGGCAGCCAGTATGGCGTGCTGCACCGAAAGCCGATCAGGACGATGGCTGGCTGCCAGCCTCAAGACGCCATCCTTCGTCTGCGGTTTCATTCCAGAGACCATCACGCGCGTCCAGAAAAGAAGACAGGAATGCACAGACCCCTGCTATTTGCTGCTGCGTGTGCGCGCACAGCCAGCAGGCTGCTGGAGTCAATTCAGTGCCCCCACTGTAATGCTGCGATCTGTCACCGAGGTGGGACCTACGAGCGGACACATGCGGCCCGCCATTCTCACTGCTGTTTGATTCAGCTGGTCAGCTCGTAGATGACAGTGGTTCAGCATACCTAAGATCTCAGGGAACGTGATGGCTTACAGACCGAGTCACACGGCTCATCGACGTGAGCGCGGCCGCCGACTTGACTCCACAAAGACCGGCTGCGTTCACCCCACGTCATTATCGCTTTGGCCCTGCACGAGCTAGAGCTCTCAGTACATCGAGCACACACAGGCTTGGGCCAATTCACTGTCATGATCGCGAACAGCGAAGCTGAAAATGAGCTGCAGCTGATGCTGTCACCGTCGCCGTCGCAATCTGTGAAGGCGACGGGTGTGAAGCGCTCGCGACCGGCCATTCACGCGTGCCCGGAGCCGGGCTGCACGCGCCGCTTTAACCGCAAATACACCCTCGCTGAGCACATCAAGACGCACACCGGTGAGCGTCCGCACGTGTGTCCTGTACGCACGTGTGGTAAGCGCTTCAGTACGTCCGGCAACCTCTCGCGCCACAAGCGGCTGCACGGCTACATTGAGCCGCTCAAGTGCCCCGTTCAGGGCTGTATCTGCACGTTTCCGAGCAACAATAAGCTGGAGAAGCACATGAAGTTCCACTACGGAAGTGCAGTCAAGGTGTGTCTAGTTCCTGGCTGCGGCAAGACTTTCAGCACGACCGGCAATCTGAACCGGCACCTCAAACACCAGCACCCGGACCTCCCGGCAGCTCAAACCCAGGCTCAGACTCAGCAGATGTCGGCCCCTCCGCCGATCGTCACCGTCCCACAGGTGATGCCGCCGCAGTTTATCCTCCGTAGCCCCACGAGCGCGGAGCAGTGGCCCGCTCTCAGTTCGACGGTGCCTGTTTTCAAGCCGCGCGCGACGACGTGCTGGCCGCAGCAGACCACGGTCCAGCAGGAGCTGATGCTGCAGTACGGGCAACAAATGCCGCAGACTATCTTTTCGCCTACGCGGTCGTGCTCGGAGCTGTTTGAGGACGTGTGGAACTCCGAGATGCTAGACACTCTCGTGAGCGTGTTGCATGACCCCACTATTCGTTGTTAAAGGAAGCAAAAGGTAGAAGACTTCACTATTTAGGAGGATCTGCTGTCCGCATTGATGTAGTAAATACAAACGTATACGTTTAGCGTTTTCAGCCAAGTGCCCGTTGCATTGCTGCTTCGTCAAAACCAGTGACATCTCTTGAACCTTGTGCACTAGCGAAATGTTAATCGATCGCAACGGCTGTCGGTCGGTGCAGGAAAAGTTATCGTGCGAGGCGTCGAAGCCAGCAACGAGCACAGAGCTGTCGAGGCTCGACTCGAGCACTGTCATGCCAACAAGACGCCTTCGAGCAGCGTGGGGGAATTGCCGATAGTCATGGCGATCGTTCGAACACCGAAAATATATGAAATAAAGTATGCCGATATCTCATGTGCTCCTTACACTACAGTTGCACTTGTGGATCCAAGCTCGTCTGACGAGGTTTTCGCTTTATTCTTGGCCTGTGCAGAACGGGCCGCACTGCGGCGGCGATATCGAGTCTTGTTGTAACACACAGAGCATCAAGTAGATCTTTGTAACCATGTACCTAAATAACTTAAAATTGGTCGTGCAGTAGCCGCCACCGACGTTTGGGGTTTGCTCGCGTCGAGCATGTAATAAAAAGACAAACTTCAACTTTGGCTCGTCGGTGTGTGGTTGCATAAACACGCGCTATATGTACCGGTAGCGAAAAGTGGACATGACGGGGCGTCAACTAAAAAAACTGTTTATTCCTCCCAAAGGGTGTGACGAAACATAAAGACAACAACACCTTGCTGTTGCAGAGTGAATGTCCACGAATTCAGGTCTCATCCGCGGCGTCGATATTTATCAATGAAGGATGAGGACCTGTTCTTAGGCTCGCATCTCGTGTAAGTGAGCTCCTCTTGACGAATCCTCACCAGATTGCTTGGGCATTCTAATTCCCACGCCCTTGTCGCTACAGCATTGCTTTCAGGAGCATAAGAGCACATCAACACATATTTCCTCGTTGCCGGTGCTTCGTAGCGTTACGAGCTGTAGCGCACGGGAAGGTTGGGCCTCCTGTTGCAACCTCTGGTGCATGCTAATGCCCGTTGCCGCGTCTGCTTGGGCTTCTGCACTCGACTGTCACAATGCAGCTACATGTGCACGACCTGCGTCTCACCGAGACAAGCTACGGTATCCCAGGTGGCGACAGTAATTGTCCGCATACTGGGACGGCCGGACGACGCTGTTTCCTCCGACTCGTGCTTGCTTATGTGGAAGTCCTCGGCTGAGCACCTATAGCTTGTGAAGCAAGAAGGCGAGCGTCGTATTGGTCAAAGAATTGATTCGATCTTTAAGTTACTATACACACTATCGCCTAGTTGGTTTACAAGCCCGCTTTAGTCGAGCAGCATCTTGGACAGAATGTCCAGCATTTCGGGGGTCCACGGCGTCGTGCACGCGCTCTCGAACGGGGCCGGCAGCTCCAGCTCGATCGACTCCGACGCGAGTTCCCACGCGTTGCCTGTCCATTCCTGGTCAATGCCCGTGGGACTCTCGCGGGTAGGCGTGCTGCACTTCTGGTTGCTGGGGGTGCTGCAAATGAAGCTCAAAGTCGGCGAAGACGGCGCTGGCGTCTTGTACTTCTCGCGTTCCTGTTCTGTGTGCTGGTTCTTGAGGTGGCGGTTGAGGTTGCCCGTGGTACTAAACGACTTGCCGCACTCCGGCACCTTGCATGTGTGTGTCCGCGGCACGTAGTGCGTACGCATGTGCTTGGCCAGCTTGATGTCGCTCATGAACTTGCTAGTGCAGCCCTTCACGGGGCAATGCACGGGCTCAATGGCGCCGTGGAGACGCATATGCCGGGACAGATTACCTGAGGTGCTGAAGCGCTTGCCGCAGCCGCGTGCACGACACACGTGCGGGCGTTCACCCGTGTGCGTCTTCATGTGCTCTGTAAGCGTGTACTTGCGGTTGAATCGGCGTCCACAGCGCACGTCCGGGCACTGAAAGGCGCGGTTGCCGCTGTTGTTCTGTTTGAGGGTCATATCGGCTGGGATAACGATGCGATCGAGCTCGATGTCCTGCATGTCTGATGTATTGGATAGCTAGAGGTAGCTGCTGCTTGGTAATGCCTGTGTAGTGTTGGGCAAGTTGTGGAATGAGACCGAAAAAGCTGTTCGAAAGCGTGATGCGGTGCAGTACCTACGTACGTCATGGCTGGGACCAACGCGCAATCAGAGACCGCGCACGCCTACGCTACACGCTGGACAAGCGCAGCGTGACGGATGTCTTACACGCGATACGGCCAGGGCGATTTGCCCGCTCGTCAGCGGGCCTCTCGTGGCGGCTATGCTTCGCTTGCCCCGGTCAAAGCTGCCTCAGGTCATCAATCCCATACAGCCAAAGGTCTGTTAGAAATCCCAGCTGGTCGTGCAACATTGTTTGAGTCTCGCTCACACAACATTCATGATGTTTTTTTCCAAATCTCTCTATTAAGTAAATATAGGGAGAGACAACCTCTTAAAAAAAGGTTTTTTTTTCTTGCGCTGATGCGTCTTTTTCACGTTTTGCATCAAGTACGAATATTTAATTCCAGGGCGAAACCAATATTAGGTGTGTGCATGAATTTGTGGACATATTGCCATCGTGCACTTACTTTAATAGTGATTTGTTGATGCAGCTACAGTCCTTGGTGCCAGTGAGCACGTCTTGTGCCTATGGGCAATGACACTCAAAGCTATTGATAATGCGAATCCTAATGACATTAGCGCGATTCTGAGCCTTTCGACTGTTGTCTAGGTTTATGTGGCCTTCAATGAACTTGCAACACCGTAAAGAACGTGAAGGGCATTTCGATAACTGCTGACATCTCAAATTAATCCCATAGCTATACTTTTACCAGGTGTTGTATTTAACTTGCAATTTTTCTTTTTAAGGAATTGTCCCAAATTCCCTCAATTAATAATGACTGGCACATCCCACGGCTATCAAGTGACAACTCCTTCAGAATCGACTTTCCCCAGGTATCCGCCCAAGTATCCGCGGAGACCCCGTCACAGACTCATTGGAGACACTCGAGTGGAAAATCCAAAGGGGGAGTTCAAGTCGACGACTCCTCGATTGAAAACATGAACGCTTACGAATGCATTCGCCGTCCCAGCCCAAGATGCAAGGCCATGCATGGGCAGGTCGCGCGGACTGCAAACGCGGAGCTTGTGATGCTCGAGCTTGGAGTCTGCCAGCAGTGTCAGTCATGGCTACAATACTAAAACGTGCTCCTTTTCTCTTTCGGGATGCTCACTCGAACAGCAAAAAAAAAGTATGACGTTTACTGTACTTTTATACATACTTTTGTAGTTCTGCTTGAGCTGACTGCAGCATGACTGCGTTATCGTTAACTTCGCAATTTGATTCGCGTATTGACCACATCAAGACCGTATTTACCACACTTACAAACCGCTTCATCACTTCAACTAAGCAGCATGTGTCCGAGGATCTCGAGTGTCTCGGGACTCCAGGGCTCGTCACATGGCCTGTCGATTGGGGCAGGGGTCACCTCCATCATAACAACGTCTGCGTTTACATCTGTCCCGTGGCCGCTTTTTCCATTAGGAACCTGCCAGCTTGCCAGCGCCGACTGCACCAGCTCCTCGCGCTTGCTGCCTGTACAGTGCTTCTTGAGATGTCGATTCAAATTTCCTGTGGTGCTGAATACCTTTGTGCACCCCGCAACTTTGCAGGGGTGCGTCCGAGGAGCATCGTGCTGCTTCAGGTGCTTCGCAAGCTGGACGTCGCTTAAGAAACTGCGCGAGCAACCGTCTCGAGGACACCGTATGAGAGGCAGGGGTCCGTGAAGCCGCATATGCCGCGCGAGGTTGCTAGAAGTGGCGAATCGCCGGCCGCAGCCCGCGGCCCGACAGACGTGAGGTTTGTCTCCTGTATGGGTCTTCATGTGCTCTGTCAGTGTGTACTTGCGGTTGAAGCCGCGTCCGCAATGTTCTAGCGGGCAAAAGAATCGCTTTCCGACCTCGCTCGGCTGCATGTGCTGAGTTGTGCAGGGTTTTGGTAATTCGGGGAATGACATCCATGATGTCCAGCCAGGATAGCGTCATGTCCACTGCGGCAACAAGATACTTTCTCTGATCGTCGGTGACATTGCAGCGCAATCGCATTGTAGACACAATAGAGATTGCGGTCACCAGCTTCAAGAGTACATGTAAAAGGTGCCATGGCTACCTTTTCGCTGTCATACGCAGCAGCGGTGACACTGGAATTGCTGTGCCGGGACAACGGTGGCCTGGCGCCTTGACGTAGGAAATTCCCGCCGGCAAAAAAAATGGTCGCGTTAGACAGCAAGGCGCACGCACAGGCTGGATATTGTGCATGTCGTGTAGTGTAAAATTGTTTTCAAAACATTTGTAGCTGCTCATTTAACCCTAACCTTCTAGGGATCATAATCTTCAGTAGCCCAATGATGCTCCCCATCCTGCATAAATGGTCCATAATTGACATGCGATGGTTCATCTTTGACAGGCGTGGGATTTGTGCGACCATTTCGACATCAGCTCAACATCCTCTATTAATTAATTTCATATGAATTAATAGAGGTTTAGTGTAGCTAAGTCGGTCGATGATGACCAACAAGTGGTTCACTTGCTGCAGTTGCGGTGTCCAAGCAAGTTTTGTGAATACTCTGAGGGGGTCGATCTGCATCGGGTGCAGATACGGAGAGTGACTACAATGCTTTGGTCCGACGCAGCAAACGGAATTCGTCATCGTAACCCGCTCGAACAGCGAAAAAAAAATCAGCGACAGCATCACTCGATTGCTTCGAGCCCAAAGGTGATTGCGAACTCGTATCCAACGTGGGCCTCACCGTGACAGCCATCGTCTGTTGTTTGCTCCCTATGGCTGCTGACTCATTCTTGACTACGTAATATGATAAGGTTTCAGAGCGTCGAAGCGAACACGGTACAGTATCCGTCCTTTACTCCCAAGAACCCAGGAATGGAATTATTTCAAGCTGGTGCTTTGCCGACGAAGAAATTGTTTACACTATGTGCAGTAGTATCTACGTCTCTGAATTGTTGGAATCGGCAGACTGAATTAGACAGCACAGAATGCTATGATTAGGTTGTCCAGCGTTACCGATCTGGCATCTCCAAAGCAGGACTCCAGTAGTGCGGCGTTGTGCGCGGAGACTGATCCGCTTGTGCTAGCTGTGTACGTGGTAGCGTCCAAACAACATCATGAGTCAGTCGCCTCTTCGATCAGGCTTCGAGGTATCGAAGCGCTCGACTTGTCGTTGTTTGCATGGCTGGGTCGATCTAAACCAATGCAATTCTTCACTTTCTGCAGCGCCAGGCCCCAGATGCAGCGGGTATGGTATCGTCGATGGCTCAAAAAGGCACTAAGGAGACGAGAGCAGCCGAAGCGCTTGCTATGAAGGACGAGCAGATGAAAATCCTCGGCAGTCAAAACGCCCAACTGCTGACTTCGCTCAATGCAATGGACGACGAGATCGGCACGTTGAAGATGAACAAGCTCAGGCTCGAAGAAGAGAACCGCAGCCTTCGTGACCAGAACTTCGAACTACAAAGCAAAGCTCGTGCCGCTGAAACTACACTCATTAAAGCTCAGGTACGCTGCAACCTAGACAAAAAAAAACGAATGAAATACCTTCGTGAACTGATTGAGTTTCATGATAGACTGGCATTGAGGAGCGCGAGACTCAAGTGAGAGTACTAACCGACCATAACACAGAGCTGCTCCGTCTTCTAGAGCACGAGGAAGCACAGAGTTCGTCTTTAGCTTTAAGAACAACCCAACTCAAGTCAGATCTCGAGGCATTAGAGACGCGTTATGCCTCTTTATTGGCATCTGCCAAGACCCACGAAGAGATCGCCACTCGTGCAACTCGTGAAGGTCAAATGCGAGCTGAAGAAGTGCGTTTACTACGGAACGAAAGTGACCAGCTACGTGCGTGCAATGTCGAGATGAAGATGAAGACACAAGTGGAACTAGAAGCCTTACAGGAGCAGCTTCGTGTACGCAAGGAGAAGCAGTACCAGCTCTTGGAAAAGCTTCAACAACTTGAAGAAGCCAAGCGACAGAGCGACGATCAACTCGCATCCGCTGAAGACAAAGCCAGGAAGCTGCACGCTCGTAACCAGGAGCTTGAGACGCAGGTCCAACTCGAAGCCAAGGCCAAACGCGCGCAGATTGACGCCAACAAGAACTTCTTCATCGAGAATGGCAACTTGCAACGTGATAAGCACGAATTACAGACTCGATTCGACAAGGCAGAACAGGAACGTTCACGCATGGAGGCTGAAAACCGCGACTCTGCCGATCAACTACGAGAAATGGCCGAAAAGGTCTTCCAACTTCTGGAACGTCTTAAGCTGGCTGAACTGGGCAAGACGAAGGCCATCGACGGACTTAAACAGAAGGAGGTTGAGCTGCTTGCACTCAAGAAGAAGAACGCTCGACTGCTCAAAGAAGGCACACAGGAAGGTAAAGCACGCGTCAAGTCCGAACTGGACAAGAAAGTGCTGCTTGAACAGCTTCAAGCACTGAAGAAGCACAACGCCCAGCTGTCGTTACGCTGTAGTGACGAGGTCAAGGCGAAGCTGAGGGAAGCAGATGAGCGTAAACAACTCGAGGAAAAGATCAAGACCATGAGTTCTCGTGTAGCCTTCCTGCTCAACAAGATGCAAGCGGATGAAGAAGCCAAAATCGTTAGTAAAGAAGAAACGAAGAAGCTTCAGGCGCAACTCACAACCTTGCAGGAGAAAGGAGCAGAGCTCGCACACAAGCTCCACTCAACTGCTGAGAGCAACCGTGTGGTTACTGAAGCTCTGAGGTGTAAACAGGATGAACTGGACGCACAAACGATCAAATTTGAAGCCACTCAGAAGAAAATGGCCGAAGTGGCGCTGGCTATGGAGCAGTCCGGCATACCGATGGCCACAGGAGCTGATAACAACCAGGAGGCACATCAGAGAGAAGCTACGCATCCAGACGATACAGCAGCAGTAGCAAATGGTCGATTCTTTGTGGAATGTCGAGCTTCACACGGTGGTCTGTTACTCATTAAAGCCAGACGAACTAACTTCAGCCCAAAAGCTCAGCAACAGTCCATCGACTTTCTCGAACGAATGGGTGTCAACACGTTCCTCAAGCGCGCGCAGAAGAGTCTGAACACCAAGCAGCTCCTTGTTGAACGCATCGCAGCTTTTCTCACCACCATCATTACTTGTGAAGACGCTGTAGCGGATGTCAAGGAGCAGCTCGCAGCAAAAGATGACCAAATCGGACACTTGTCCAGAAAAATTCGCTGGATGCAGGAACGATTGACCACTGAGGAAGACGCGAAGCGCAAGACGTTGCTGCGGTATGTGCACGAAGTCAAGTCTCGCGCCCTGACAGTGTCTACGGATTTAAGTGATGAGCGTAATTCTGGCATTTTGAAGCTCCCTGAGAGTGGGGTGGGGGACGAAGAAGTGCACGCCATTGCTGCTCTCTTGCGTAACGCTACCAATGTCCGTGAACTTCAATTGCGAGGCAACGCCATCTCCAGTGAAGGAGCACGAGCCATTGCAGCAGTGTTGAATATTTCATCATGTCGCTTGCGTCAAGTTGACTTGAGGAATAACCAGATCGGCAAAGACGGCATCAAGGTGCTGGCAGAGGCACTGGAGCGCAATGAGCGTATCAAGCACGTGTATGTACACGCTGGTGGTAAGATCGAAGCACTCGGCACTACATCTCCAGTGTCTCAGGCCGCCATTGTTAACGCACAAATCTCCAGTGCTGCAACGCTGGGGAGCTCCGGGCCAACTCATGCGTCACTTATTGGCGTCGAGACTGTCTGCGTCGTGGACGTTCGAGAGCAGACGGAAGCAGACACCAGCAGTGCCAGTACCAGTCTTCTGATTGACTTCGCGGACGATCCGCGTGTCACTGCTGGACAATTATCGACAACAGGACTGGGCAGCACACTCAAGTTGAAGCTGACAGGCATCAATGGAGACGCTGGCATGCAGCCCATGGCCTCGGTAAACGATCGGGACAGTAGCAACCGGCTCTTCTTGCGACGACCGTTGTCTGCTGCTGCGTTGAAGCGACAACGTGAACGTGTTGCCCTGGAACGAAAGAAACGGCAAGAAGAAGCCAAGCGCCAAGCTCGTAAAGAAGCCGAGTGGGCAGGTCGATCCGGTGGGATGGAGTCCAGTCCTTCACACACCAAGAAGTTGCCACCGATTTCGACAAACTCCAGCGGAAAGAGCGTGACACGAATTAGCTCAGCACCTGTACTTCTCAAGAATAAAGAAGCCGAGGCAGGCGATCCCGCCGAGAGCTGACAGCATCATGTCAATTCAGTCCATTCCGGTATCTGCGCCCCCTATAAAAACAACAGTTATGTGGGCGTATGTATTCTTTTCAATGTTATTACCACTGAACACCCCACGTACCAATCCAGCAGACATCGGCAACCACCGTAGATTATCAAGTTTTGTCGCTATACAGTAAAGTCGGTGGCGGCTTCCCTCTCACGTTCTCGCTCACGAGCCTTTAGCATCAGACGCTGTAAAATCAACAAGTTCGCACGTCCTGTTCGTCGCTCCGATAGTGTCAACAGGTTATCGTTCTCCTGCGACATAAAATGTAGTAGCCGAGATACTGTCGAGTTAGCCTCGCTCGCCGTAAGCACTGGTAGGTCTTCACCCTTAAAACTCTCCAGCGCCAATGCCCTCTGCGTGTCACGGAGCAATCCCTGAGCAGCTAAACTCTCCACGACGATCTCGTTGTCTTTGACAAGCTCATCCGCTCCGTTAGACTCGGACTTGTCAAAATCCAGCAGTTCCAGCATAAATTGACTGGAGTTCTCCGTGAAATCCAGTCCGAGCGTCTTCTGAAGTGCTGGAACTTTTGTTAGTTGGGACAGAAGTTCTGCGTACGCTTTGTTGTCATCCTCTTCGATCAAAGCTGCATTGACTTCACCGTCGCCGGGTTCGGGTGCTGACAAGTACAAGGAAGCGGCCCATGCGTGTCGAATGGAAGAAGAAGGTACTGATTCCCACGCCGTGTGCAGCCAGCTCAGCGTATTCCGCATATGAGTGTGCGCATGGACATCGAAGGCGTCAATTACAGGAGAACCGTCATCATGAATCGCCTCGTTCTGTCCCTGTTGTTGAATAGGCTTTGACGTCGCGGCCCATTGTTCGTATTCGTGAAGCAGCGTCTGCAACATCTCACGACGAAAGCGTAACTTGAATGATCGGAAGATTCCTTGGTGAAGAGGTTGTGCGTCACTCGTGGGTCCAGGAGGTAAGAACAGCAGCACTATGGAGTCGAAGCTGAAGCCATTTCGAAACGATCCCGACGGATTCAGCGAATGGGCAGCGGCAACGTGAGCTGTACAGCTGTCCAGAACCAGATACCAGATCTGCTTTCTCGCCGTTGCTTCGTGATTCATAGCCTGGATGAAATCCGCGATCGTAGGCGCGTCGTGTGTGGCGCGACAGTGGTCACGATACTGCACACCGTAAGTCGTTAACGTGTCCACGTCCTTAATAGAGTCCGGGTTCGGGTCTTTGCCAACGACTTGCAAATGCAACTTCTCCCCCGATGCACTCACTGCCATCGCCACTGAAATACGCTCGAGACTACGCACGTCCATATTAACGACCGAGTCCAGCCTCGCTGACGTCGTGCGGTGTCGTAGTATCAGTTCGTCCAGGCTCCAGATGCAAGTCGGCGCTACGTTCATGAGCATTTCACGTATTTTTTGGACACGCTGGTCATACGTCATTCTATCTGGAGTTATCGAAGTCGCTCCTGCTGGCGTGTGGTGCTTCGGGAGTGAGCGCATGCTGCGTCGCTGCATGTACCTGTGTAGCCATCCATTGGACGCCTTGAAGTCCGTGAGCGACATGATCACTTCATCAGACAGCTCGCTGCTATAATCCGCCAAGATCTTGTTACGGAACTCCATAGCTTTGGACTGCAGCAGCTCTCCTGTGACTTTGAGTCCCGGTGCATCCAACTCGACCTGCAACTGCCACTTGTATAGCATATCTTCAATGACACTAAGTTTGTGCTGATACTGCAATACCTTACGACTGCTTGTAGCGCTCTCCACTAGCGCCTGGGCGGAAATAGCTGCTCGTTCCTTCACCATTTTGGTCACTGCGGTGCGTGACACGCCGAATTTCTCGGCTGCAGCTCCCTGCGAGCCTCCCTGGTCCACAAAAGCCAAGATCTCCATCTTCTCCAAGTTGGTCTTGCGGACGCGTCTTCCTTTCCGCGGTTTAGGCGGTGGAGGGGCCGCTACCTGCTCCTGTATTTGCTCTGTTGAAGCTGCGACCGCGGCGTTGAGTCCCACGGCCTCCTCGTTCGTGATAACCATTTCTACGGGCTGTGCGGCGTCCGTCAGTACAGCCGTCACCTGTTCGGCCTCGTTCTTGGCAACAGACGGAACTTCTGATACGTCATGATCCTTTTTAGCCTTGGGCTTTTGCTTGCGTTGCTTCTTGGCGTCCTCTGACGCTAGTGCGTCATCTTGTGCGCGTTTACCTAGAGAAATCGGAGAAGATGAAGAAGCCGCCATATCCGCCTGGGGATCGCTCTCTGTGTCCGAGGAGGGCGAAGCTGCCACCTTCCGTGTGCGCTTGATGTCCATAATGCGGGATAGCAAGTGATTGGACGGGGGAGCGAGAACAGTGACATCTCTGTATAAGAATTCTATTTTTTACCCCTATAAGAGATCACCTACTCTTTGATTGGTGGAAATGCATTTGGGTCTGCTCCACACAGTGATCGAGGATGTGGCGCTGCGTAGCTGGTCGACGGCGTGTCTTGCGCGGCGTCACCACCCCTGCACGTCCCTGTTCCGCGGTATCTACGCCTGCAACGTCGATTGCAAGTCTCCATGCTGGCGTTCCGCTCAATTTCGTCCTCCAGGCGACTCGTGTAGCTTTCCCAACAGCAAGATGTTCATCGCATAGCGCTGTTTCGATGGTGTCGTCGGCTTCCAGGCCTTCTACGCGAGGTTTCAGAAGAACTTTGGAAGGGAAATCGTTGTTGCAATACCAAGGTAGACTTTTTAAAGGATCTAGGCTGATATTCGATCGACGCTCCTTCAGTAGCGTGGAGAGCATCTATCAGAAGAAGACCCCGTTGGAACACGTGCTGCTGCGTCCGGGCATGTACATTGGCTCCGTAGAGGCCGCGAAGGATACTATGTGGATGACGCCTTCCGAATCTGCAGCAAAAGAGGACGAAGAAGGACTTAGAATGAAGCAGCAGGCCGTGGAATATGTCCCTGCTCTCTACAAGATCTTTGACGAGATCATCGTCAACGCTGTGGACAACAAGGTTCGCGATCCGAGCATGAGGCACTTAGACGTGATCATTGAACCTGGAAATAAAGCCAATGGATACAAGCCTTGGATTTCTGTGTATAATGACGGCAAAGGCATCCCCGTCAAGTTCCATAAGACGGAGAAGGTCTACGTACCGGAGTTGGTGCTGGGCCATTTACTCACGGGATCGAATTTTGACGATACGGCAGCGAGATTGACGGGTGGAAGACACGGATATGGTGCCAAACTGACGAATATTTTCAGTAAAGAGTTCGTTGTGGAGACAGGGGATACGTCCACGGGATTACGATACAAACAGGTCTGGCTTAACAACATGCGAACACGTGGAGAGCCAGAGATCACCGAGTTTACTGGTAAGGACGGGAAAGATTTTACGAAAGTATCATTTTCCCCGGATCTGGAGAAGTTTGAGATGCAGAAGCTTACTGCAAGTATGACACGTGTGCTGAAGAAGCGCGTGTATGATATCGCTGGATGTTTATCGGATGTAGAAGTTACTCTGAACGGCAAAAAGGTGCCGATTTCGGGCTTCGAGTCTTACATCCAGGCTTTCCGCCACTCGACAACGAACACCCCGGTTTCGAAGACTGCAAAACCATCGAAAGACAGCGAGGAAGTATCTTCTGGCTCAGATTACATTTATTCGCGTGTAAACAAGCGGTGGGAGATCGGTGTGTTGTCCTCTGATGTAGGTTTTGTCCAGGTGAGCTTTGTGAACGGCATGTCTGCGTTGCGTGGCGGTTCCCACGTTGGTTATGTGAGCGACCAAATCTGCCGTCGCGTTGCTGAACACGTCAACAAGAAGTTCCCGGAGCTTTCGGTCAGCACGGCACAGGTGAAGCCGCACATGGCGATCTTCATCAATTGCCAGATCGAGAACCCAACGTTCGACTCGCAGATGAAGGAGTACATGACGTCGCGGCCTCCAACTTACGGATCAACTTGTGTACTCTCTGAAAGGCTATTGAAGCTGGTGCTGTCTGACTCTGGTATCGTCGAGCGTGTCGTACAAAGTGCCCGTGCTCGACAACGTGCAGCTCTACTAAAGAAGGTGTCGTCTACGCGCGCAAAGAGCACGTCAGTTAATGTCCCTAAGCTTGAAGACGCGAATCTGGCTGGTGGCCCCCGCTCAAGCGAGTGCTCGTTGATTTTGACGGAGGGTGATTCAGCGAAGGCTCTTGCAGTGGCTGGGCTGGCCGTCGTTGGACGCGACCAGTACGGTGTCTTCCCTCTGCGTGGTAAACTTCTAAATGTACGTGATGCCACGGTCGCACAGCTTGGAAAGAACGCCGAGTTTGCACATTTGTGCACGATCCTTGGTCTTCGCATGGACGAGCATTATGGCACAGAGGAAGCACGTCAAAAACTGCGCTATGGAAGAGTGATTGCCATGACGGACCAAGATCACGACGGCTCGCACATTAAAGGATTGCTGTTTAATTTGTTCCACACATTCTGGCCGGAGTTGTTGAAGGAAGGTGGCTTTATAAGTGAGTTCATTACCCCCATTATCAAGGTGAGTCCTACTTCCAAGCGCGTAGGTACTGAACGTGGCCTAGAGACACGGCGTTTCTTCAGTTTGCCTGAATATTTTGAGTGGAAAGCGTCGGTGGATCCCGCTGAGCTCAAGTACTACGCCATTAAGTACTACAAGGGTCTGGGTACTAGCACAAGTGCTGAAGGACGTGAGTATTTCAGCGACCTGGACAACCACCTTGTGGACTTCCACTGGAGTGGTGATAACGATGGCGATGCGTTGGATATGGTATTCAGTAAGGCTCGTGCAGCGGATCGCAAGGCTTGGTTGTTGAACGAATACTCTCCCGACTCTTACCTCGACACAAGCTCGGGGGGTGTCACGTACCAGGACTTTGTGAACCGTGAGCTTATTCAATTCTCTCATGCGGATAACCAGCGATCGCTGCCATCGGTGGTCGATGGTCTCAAAATCTCGCAGCGGAAGGTTCTGTTCGCTTGTTTAAAACGCAAGCTTACGAGTGAAGTGAAGGTGGCTCAGCTGGCTGGTTACTGCAGTGAGCACACAGCCTATCACCACGGAGAAGCCTCGTTACACTCGACGATTGTCAACATGGCGCAGGACTTCGTGGGGTCCAATAACCTGCCGCTACTGTACCCGTCAGGTCAATTTGGTACTCGACTGCAAGGTGGTAAGGACGCTGCTAGTCCTCGATATATCTTCACGTTACTGCAGAAGCACACTCGCTTGGTATTCCCCGAAGAAGACGACGCGCTGTTACGCTACGCCGACGACGATGGCTTCCCTGTTGAGCCAGTGTACTACGTGCCTATTATTCCGATGTTGCTTGTGAATGGGGCGGAAGGAATCGGTACGGGTTGGTCTTCATCCATCCCTTGCCACCACCCGGTGTTGGTGATCGACAATCTTTTGAAGCTTTTGGATGCCGAAGAAGCAGGAGACGATCTCTCGACTGTGGAGCTTGCACCAATGACGCCGTGGGCCAAGGGTTTCAGCGGCGGTCTTCGTCAGACTGGCAAGCATTCGTTCGTATCTCGCGGCAACGTCGAGCAGGTCAATACGTCAACAGTGCGTGTGACAGAGCTGCCTGTAGGCAAGTGGGTGGAGGATTACAAAAAGTTCTTGTGGGATCTCGTTGGTAAGAAGGCTATCCGCTCGTTCTCAGAGCACCATTCGGAGCGTGATGTACGATTCGACATCTCCATGACACGCTCGGATCTCGCCAAGTACGTGGAGGACGCACCTAGCGACGATGCTGGCGATAGTGAAGCGTTGGTGAAGCTGTTGCGTGTGGAAGCACCTCTGAGTACCAGCAATATGCACGCTTTCAATGCTGACGGTCAATTGGTCAAGTACGAGACGAGTGAGGACGTTTTACGTGACTTCTACGGCGTCCGTCGTGAGCTCTACTCGAAGCGTAAGCAGCATCTGGAGCAGCGCCAAACCAAGGAAGTTCTTCGTCTGAGTAACCGTATCCGCTTCATCCAGGAGGTGTCGTCAGGTAGTCTGCAGAAAATCCTCAAGGAACGTATCCCCAAGGCCGAGTTAATTGAGCTGCTTAAGGAGCACGAGTTCTCTCCGGCGTCGGCTTTCAAGGAGGAGGCCATTGACCATATCGGAGACCTTGGATTGGCCGCAGTTGGTCGTGAACAGGATACTGATGATATCGATGGAAGTGAAGACTACGATTACTTGCTGAATACTTCGCTCATGAGCTTCACAAAGGAATTCGCCGACCGTGTGCAGAAGGAGCACGACACCAAGCAGGAGAAGCTACAGACGTTGCAGTCGACGACCCCGGCTCAGCTCTGGCGAGGCGAATTGGAGCGACTGCGCGCTGTGTTGGTACGTGACCAGGAGTTCCAGCTATAGACTGCAAGTAGCAGATAGATAGATGACAACACATAGAGTCCATGTAGACAATGGTGGACGTTATCGTCCACTTCGCTTGTTTTTTGTTGTCTTTAGTTTTGATTCGTCGAAAACTTGATACTACTATTTTATTTTAAACCAATTGTATCTCGATAATTGCTCCCCCTCTTTCGGAGCGAGAGCCATTTTCTAAACGAGAACTCAGAGACGCACCGCAACGAGACCAGGTAAGATCACGGCGTCTAGTTCTGGGGTTTCCGGCAATACTACACTGCTATCGATAGAATTAGCGTGTACAGCAGCGTGTGGTCTCTCTTGTGAGCCCCAGCACGCCCCGAAAGGTCACCACAAGGCCAAAACTAACATTTTCCGGCTGTGTTTCTTTCCTTGTATCATTTGCAGCGAGTGACCATTTAGAGCCATGGCGAAACATGGCGCAGAGGTGGTGATCGGTACGTAAACTGTCAAGACAGAAGATATGCAAGAGGATCATTTATTTCGAGGACATTGTAGATGTTAACATATTATTTCGGTTGTTATTTGTAGTGCCCCGCAACTTTAAGCTGCTGGAAGAGCTGGAGAACAGCGAAAAGGGCCACGGAGACATGAGTATCTCGTACGGATTAGAGCAGGCAGACGACATTTTCCTCACAAACTGGATCGGCACCATCCTAGGCCCTGCTGGCGTGAGTATTGCAGACATCGACAATGGATATTTCAATGAGCTTAAGGTCTGACAATTATTCTTTCGATATAGACGTGCCACGACGGACGCATCTACAGTCTGCGAATCCACTGCAGCGACCAATATCCCCACGTCCCGCCCGAAGTGCACTTCACGAGCCGCATCAACATGAGCTGCGTGGACCCCCAGTCGGGCCGCGTGGACCCGCGACGACTGGCGGCGCTGGGCAGCTGGCACCGCAACAATGGCATTGAGAACGTGCTCGTGGCTATCCGCGCCGAGATGGCCTCGCCTACCAACCGACGTCTGCCGCAGCCGCCTGAGGGCACCAACTTTTAGAAGCGTGCCGCTTTTAGGGACGAGACTCTTTCTGCTTTTAAAGTTTGAGAGGAGATGAAAAGAAAGAGGAGAGGTGAAAGTGAAGAGTGCGGTGCGCTCCCGAATGCTACAGTCTCTCGAGTAATGCCTAATGCATGATAGTACTGCATATTTAGGCATGCTGGCCGCGAATCTGGTGTGACAGAATCGTTTTCTTAAATCTTGGTCTCGTTGGGTTCTAAAATGCTGCTAAATATTTCTAATTGTATGGGTAGCGAGATCTAAAGCGGACCCCCTTGGGTGTGGAGAAGATCATCGGCGGGTCCTCTTTCTGAGGTTCTTCTTCGGACAAGTCTTCGTCTTCTTCATACACGTACACTTCGTCGTGCGACTGTGGCTGAAGACGTCGCCATTGCGCTTGTACTTGTACAATAGGGTATCGGAGCATATGCAAGAGTGTGGCGACTGCGCGTAGGAGATCAATACCTGAAGCCAGAGTGAAGAGCGGAACGAGCAGATATCCTACAGCCTTCCACACAGGAGATGGCTGGCGGCTGAACGGGAGTAATAGGAGTAGACACAGCAGCAGCTCGCGACCGATACCACACGCGCAAATGACGACTCGGTATCTGTAGTCCCAGCGTGCGAATTGCTTGAACAGTGGATGCCAGTCTTGTCGTTCCTCCAGGAAGCGTACGTGCACTGCAGTAGCGTTGATGCAGCTCACACCGAGATCGAATATGAGCATACACTGGAAGGAGGAGCTTAATGCTGGATACAGTCTTTGAAGCGACCAGTACAGCACCAACACTGTCACTCGATCCAGCACAACCGACGTGAAGCTCGCAATTGTGACCAGCAGTCCGCTCTTGATGCACAACATGAGTCTCCGTGCTACGACGTCGCATGCTAGCATGATCAGCAGCAGTGTCGTCACTTTAGAACGCAATTGTGGCCCCAATCCAGTGTTTGTTACGGGTTGGAACATACACAGCAGGATGTAGATCAGCACTGCACGAACGGATTCCACCAGCGGGACCAACATGACAGCGATAAAGTGCTTAAACAGCGACTTGTCCGACACTACACCCCAGTATCTCGAGAACACGTAGATTTCCCGTTGATTTGGCGGTTGAGAGATGATTTTCCCGCTCTCGGGAGTTGGCCGTGATGTACGTCTCTCGAACTCAGGAGGTGACAGACATCCGACACAGAATCGCGTGTCAATCTCGCTGCGCAAAGTCCTGGAGTGTGCAGACTTGCAGTGTAACACGCGGAACTCCTTCTTGCCGTCTCCATTCACTCGAATGGACGCTACTTCAATCAATAGCGGGTCTAATAGCAACACCTCATTGGCTTGAGCTGCAGAGAAGAATGGTTCATGACGCAGAGATCCGTCGGCTTTGGTCCAGAAGAGATAGGGCTGCAGGAGATTGTCCACATCGAGCTTGAGACCACCTGGAGAGCACCAGACAGTCACTTCGTCACCTGGTAATAGTGTGTACTTGGCTGGGAAGTGGAAAACGTCGCTGCTGCCGCTGCAACTCAAGCTGAAGCCTGTCATGTCCACGCTCTGCTCTGATGGATTGGACACCACGACCCACTGCTTCGTTGAATCTGCACGCGATACGTAGAGCTGCTGCATGACGATCTTATGGCAGATCTGCATACCCGCACGCGCCACTTGTCGGTCTAGTGCGACCAGCGGCAAACGCCGCATCAGTGGGTAGCTCATTGCAAGAAGTGAGCAATAATTGACCTTTCTGAATTTGGACTTCCCGCCAAAAATAGATGGTGTGGTGGACTTCAATAACCTATCTAAACACATATAGATGATCATCACTTGTACTAAGCAGTTGCAGCCAGCAATTGCAGCAGAACTTCCACGCTTGTTTCATAACAAAAGAGTTAAAAGCTACACCACTCGCATTTCCACCGATATGTGTGTAAAAATGTTTGTTGTCCGATGCACATTGTTGTAGTTTAGATACGAACGTGAACGGACTCCATCAAAGGGTTTTCGTGACTCCAAGATGACTCTGTTGTGATGGCAATACAAGTATCATCACACTCAACGACCTGCACACCCGCAGATAGGATAGTCGGGGGCTTTTTGTCAATTGCATATCACCAATAATCATTCTGATGGCTCAGCGCTTTGAACGCGACAACTATTCTGCGTGCGATCCAAAAGATGACAAATCCATTTTATGACGATACGCAGGTTTTGATCTAAAGGCTGCGATTTGACTTCCACTACGTAATCGCTGCTCCTATGCAGTGAGTGACTGGCGGTCACATTCATTTTTACGTTCACGGTTCATTTTCAAAGCGATGGAGTCGATCGACATGGAGGCCGGCACGGAAGGAATGCTCACGGACGTGGGCTTCATGTTTGACGCATGTCTCGAGAAGGTCACATGCCGTTACGAGTACGGAGCCAACGCCGACGTGTCGGTGCTGCTCACGTACGCCAAGGAGGAGCCCGGCGCACTGCAGAGCGGTCACTACGTGTGGCCCGCGGCGCCCGCGCTCTGCGAGTACTTGACCAAACACCGCGACATTATTCCGAACGGCAACGTGGTAGAACTGGGCGCTGGCTGCGGGCTCACGGGTCTGGCTGTAGCCCAGCTGCGACCCGAAGCCACCGTGATCTTCACAGACCACGATCCCGGTGTGCTCAAGGTCATCGAGCACAATGCCGGCCAGCAGGAGCGTGCGCAGGCCACATGCCTCACGCAGAGTCTGCGCTGGGGACCAGACGGCGCAAAGGAGATCGAGGCGCTAGAGAAACTACAGGCTGGGCCGGTGGGTAGCAACCGCATCACGGAGCTTATCGTCGGCTCAGACGTCATCTATGCTCGCGAGGTAGTGCCACTGCTCTTCTGGACGGTGGACAGGTTGCTGTCCCCCGGCGGCGTGTTCCTCATGTGCTCGAGCTTCGGCTACGACGACGAGACAGAGAAGGAGATTGACGTGCAGAGCGCCAAGTGCGGACTTAAGAGGGAGATCATCCAGTGCTCGCTGAACGGAGGAGGGACCAGGATCCAGTGCTTCACACGAACAACTACCAGGTAGACTATCGGGTGGTGCCTACTGAGTTCTCGACTGGTCTGTCCTGACCTGCTGCCGATGCTGTATATGACGCGCTGCCAGATAAAGAGACGAGGAGCGGCTCGCTGCCGGTGCTAGACAAGAGAGAGAGGATCGCATTGCCGGGAGGATTCACTCAGGACGGCCAGGCACAAATGTTCAATGCAAACAACACGCTTCTATCAATCTTTCCACCTTATTCAGTAGCAAAAGCATAGAGCTTGTGCTGGACGATATAGTCCAGCACCGCTGGGCTTAAGTGCCTTGCCAGCTCAGCGCGATCTGCGGTGGCTCTAACCATCGTGGACGACACGTCACTAAGTTCCGGCACGTTGATACACGTCACTCGGTCCTCAGTAGTCTGTTGATCCCTCCAAGGAGAATCGACCCCTTTACGGTCCACTACTAATAGCTTGACCAGTTGCATGAGTTCATCCCCACGCTTCCACTTGCCAGCCAGTAGATCTGCGTACGTGTCGCCGCCCAGCAGCATCGTGAAGTTCGTGTCCTCGTGCTTGTTTAGTAGATAGTGTATCATATCGATACTGCCGAGTCGGAGTTGCTCTGGACTGTGGCTTTGGGCAGCCATATGCTCGAACATTTCGCGCTCCTCCTCCACTACTTTGAGCTTAGCGCCGTCGTCGTCTTCATCGCTAAGTGTCTTGAGAGCCAATCGACACATCGCCACGCGATGCTCGAACGGCGCGAGCTGCCTCTTGCTCGAATAAATGTGCTGGTACACAGGAAGCAACCAGATCTCGTCGTACATGTCGCGGCAATGTTTCACCACGCCCATGTGGCCCCTGGGCCCCGTCGGCGGGTTAGCCGACAGCCCGAACAGCAGCACCTCGCGCGGCATGTTGTTCAATACCCTACGCATTAGATTTATTATTCATTGGATGAAAACATGTGCGTCAAAGAGTGATTGGCTGAAAAAGCCCATTTCGTAGCCAAGATGAAGGTGGTGATGCAGCGGGTGACCAGCGCCTCCGTGCGTGTGGAGGGCAACGTCGTAGGCCAAATCGGTAAAGGACTGCTGTGCTTTGTCGGTATCGGACACGATGATACCGAGGACGACGCCGAATGGTGCTGCCGCCGGCTGCTGGTATGGTAATCCTCAATATATCAACACAATTTTCCAAGGTCTCAGCTAATAGCGGTCTGTTTCTCTGTTAGAACGCTCGCCTGTGGCCTGATGAGGCGGAGCGTGCATGGAGGAAGTCGCTCAAAGACAACGACTATGAGGTGCTGCTTGTGAGCCAGTTCACGCTACACGGCCAGTTCGCCGGGAACAAGCCCGACTTCCACCTCTCCAGTACGTTGGCCACTGGCAACAATAACAGTAGGTGTTGTGTTAAATGCTAGTTTTGGTGTTGACATTTGGGCTGTGTGACTTTTGTAGTGGCTCCAAAGCCAGCGAAGGAATTTTACGACGCGTTTTGCGATCGTGTGCGTCGCGAGTACATCGCTGACAAAGTGGCGGAGGGCGAGTTCGGCGCTTACATGGAAGTGTCCATTGTAAGATTCTTTGCTGAGGTTACAGTTGGCTGGTTCGTGTCAGTTCTGAGCACTGACGTTGGGGTTTAATGAATCTAGGTGAACGACGGACCAGTGACGATGCAGATCAACTCGAAGGACAGGAAGCTCGCCAAGAAATAGAGGATTCCTACGAGGTTGGCAGGCACAACCCCGTGCACATTTATAGACAATCTCAAAGGCTCTTCGTACCTCACAAAGACACACTGATCTGAATACCTCTATTTTTGTACAGCGGGGATGTTGGTACTCACTACTTACCACATTCGGAATCCTAACACTTTGCTGCACCCAGACCCAAGCCCAACATGCCGACTCCTTTGGGGTATTCGAAGGTGTTGTTGGGTACAGAGACTGCCACAACGGGGCCCATCCACCGATCTCTGGCAGCTCCTCGAGATGCTGTACTTCAAGACCCACCGAATCCCGACGACCCGTACGTGGGACTCACTCGTCCCGAGGAACCAAGCTTGTACCACAGCTTCATCCGCACTGTGCAGTCGAAAGGTTCTTTGCCATGTCTCGGTATACAACCCTTTGTCAATGGCGTTGCACAACCTTACACGTGGCTGACATACGAACAAGTGAGCAACCGGATCACACATATTGGCGCTGGTATGATGCACCTGGACTTGTTGCCTCGAATTGGTGGAGATAATGGAGACCGGATGCTTGCGATATATATGAAGAACTCTATCGACTGGGTGCTAGTGGAACATGCAGCCTACGCATACAGTGCCATCGTCGTAGCCCTCTACGACACTCTGGGACCAGATTCGACCCAGTTCATCCTCAATCAAACAGAAATCGCCACAATCGTCTGCACTGCTGCTGAGTTACCTAAACTTACTCAAGTTTGCCCTAAGTGTCCGAACCTGAAAAACGTTTTGATTTCTGGTGGATGTACTGGGGATGCACAGTTTGAGGCCGAATGCAAGGCTCGTGAAGCTGGTTTAAATGTCCTACACTTGGAAGTAGTCGAGACGGAGGGTCAAAAGCATCCAGTCGAAATGGAACTACCGAATGGAGACGATGTAGCCACAATCATGTACACAAGTGGCACCACAGGAGAGCCGAAAGGTGCGATGCTGACACATGCAGCGATCCTCTGTGGTTGTACCGCCGTTAAAGATTTCGTGACGGCAGGTGGACATGCGTTCACTACGCAGAGCGTGTATTTATCGTACCTCCCTTTGGCTCATATTCTCGAACGTACAGCTTTTGTACATTCTTTCAGTGTGGGGAGTCGAGTGGGGTTCTCGCAAAATAACCCACTCAAGCTTGTGGACGACATTAGAGCTCTCCGTCCCACAGTTTTCATTACGGTCCCTCGCTTACTCAATCGGATCTACGACTCTATCACTGCTAAAATGCTAAACGGAAAAAAATCCCTCGCCTTCTTGTTCACTACGGGAGTTCGAACGAAGTTACGGCGTCTTCGACGATACGGCATCACACATCACGCGTTTTGGGACCGCTTGCTCTTCCGTAAGGTCCGAGCTGGACTTGGATTGGATCGATGTGAGTTTATCATCTCCGGATCGGCCCCATTAGCGCCCGAAGTTCTAGATTTCTGTCGAATTGCTCTCTTGGCTACAGTAGTAGAAGGATACGGTCAGACCGAGACTTGTGGTGGCGTTACAGCCTCGCCGTTCGAGGATTTATCGACGGGTTTCGTTGGTACACCGAATACTGCCGCGGAGATTCGTTTAGAATCTGTACCCGACATGGGTTATTTAGTGACAGATAGAACGCATGGAGAAGGTGCTGCCGCAGTTCCTTGTATAGGCAGAGGTGAGATTTGTGTACGAGGACCGCTATTATTTAAGGGTTACTACAAACAACCGGACAAGACGGCGGAAGCAGTGGATGCTGACGGGTGGCTCCACACTGGTGACATCGGTTTATGGTCACCGTTAGGCCAATTACGCATTATAGACCGGAAAAAGAATATCTTCAAGCTCTCACAGGGTGAATATGTAGCCCCGGAGAAGATTGAAAATGTCCTGGTTACGTGTCCGAGTATTGCACAAGTCTTTGTGGCTGGCGACAGCTTCCATTCGCATGTTGTTGGTATTATTGTGCCGGATGAACCAGCTATTCGCTTGGTGGCGAAGTTGAATGGCTTGACGAATGCCACATTCCGTGAGCTCTGCGATCACGACGTGGTGAGGAGTACCATAAAGAAAGAGATCGAGGAGGCCTCCACGCGTGCTAAACTTGCTGGCTTCGAGCGCGTGCGTGAGATCTACCTGCACCACGACCTTTTCTCAGTCGACAATGAACTGCTGACTCCTACGTTCAAACTTCGGCGAGCAGACGCCCAGAAACGTTTCAAGAACGAAATCGACCGCATGTACGTACTCACAGGCGACAGCGTGGTCAAGACGGCGATCCTCGACCTAAACTAACCGCGACAAATCGATAACTCTTTTCCAGTCTATTATGCATCATGCCTTCCTGTAACCTAGCACTAAAAAAAACCCCGCTTTAAGTAAACATTGAGCATATTCACTTCTACTTGTCCGAGCGACGACCGAGACGTTTTAATCTTCTGCGGTAATGCGAGCACGGTCGCTTGCCATGATTTGCCTGAGCATTGACAATTAGCCACATTGAACAGTTCGTCTTCTGTTGCATTGGAACGCACCTTCTTGGGTCGACGAGCGTTGCGGTTTAGCAGTTGCAACGCTACGGGTCCTTCTGTGAGGCGCATACGCTCCAGTGCAAACTCGAGATTGTCCCTCATGTTCATCATGTACTGCGGCGCCGCGGGTTTAACAACAGGCATTTCTGCTGCATATTAGTGAAAGTCAGAAACTAATATGGTCAAAATAATACTTAGCGGCTCGTACGTGCTGGGAACAGGTCCCAAACCCTCGTGCGCGATGAAAAGCTGCGATATACAGCAGGACAGCACGCTGCCATGCGCTTGAGCGTCACAGCCAGCATGTTGCTACCGTCTCAACTGCTGGACGGAAGGCTGGAAACTGAAGAGTGCAGATTCGAACAATAAGACATCACCAAGCAGAAACTGCAGCGATGCCATTGGTGAAAAATATCACGTCTTTCATTGGCTGATAAAATTGATTTTGTTTTAAACTGAATTGTTTTTCAAATTCTAGTCAAACGATATTCAGTATGGCCGAGACCGGGGGCATCTTAACGGGCTTCCTACCGGCATGTACGTCGCTAACTAGAGCGCCTTATCATTCGTAAAAGCTAAAGTATACTTTGTTTCCCAACACTAACTGTGATTCCTATTACCTTTAAGTGACCGAGCAGATCTCCGAAAGCGTCGTGGAAGTCACAGGGGAAGTGGAAAATGCGCTTCATAAGGTGGGAAGATGCCTCCCCTTGCAATGTCGTGCAGTAAATTGAAGCTAACATGACACCATTTTGATATAACGCAGAGACTGGAATCCACAGGTAGTAAGAAGAAGCAAGCAAAACAGCTGAATGCCGTCGCAAAGGTGGGAAACGGGCTCATTAGGATCATGGTGCTCTACAGCATTCGTACTCAAAGATAGTTTGTTGTTCTTCACCGCTGCAGGGCTCTGGGAAGTACATGGCCAAAGTACATCGCGCGTTCGAGAAGAATTTCGACAAGTTCGAGCTCTACGTACGACGCAACATCGTGGCGGTACCTGATGCTCTGGTGGACGAGGTGGCTCAGATCCGAGCAGAGAAGCAGGAGAAAGACGGGGATCAAAGCAATGCAGCAGCACAAGAAACAGAAGATATGGCGTTGCTGACAAGAGAAGAGAGGGAGGAGCGAACATTGGACAATCAGTTGGAAGCGCTGCGTCTAAAACTGAGGGAGTTGACAGCATCAAACCAACGATTAGAGATGGAAAAGAAGGCGCTGGATCAACGCACACAACATTTCCAAGGTTTCGTAGCACAGGTAGCATTCCTGGACGACGTACCAGAGCAAACAATCTCTCCTTTGAAGCGCACAGCAGAGCACATTTCGGCTCTCCACGACGCATTTTTGAAGATGGACAGCATCCAGGCAGCACTAGAAGAAGATACGCGGCAGTTCAAAAAGTCGAAAGTAGCTACTCGCGGCAGCTTCCGGAATCTACACAAGCGGTTCACAGCAAGAACAGCCGAGATGACGTACAGGACGACGGAAGATCTGGAAGAGCTGCACTCCAAACTGCTGACCATGTAACCCTCACGGCGGAAGGGATCAAGTCTGTCCCTGTATGCACAACAAGCGATGTTGTTTAACTGAATGATGCGTCTCCTGCTTATCCATCTTGGTCTGTGTCTACAGGTTCAGGTACATTCATCAATCCATCCCTTCGTTCATTTTTTTGTGGGGTTTTATTGCAATTTCTCTCCAGTGTAACAACCCGCAAGTCTCCAGTCCACTTTAGCAGTCGAAAAGAGCTGCGCCGTCTGTGCTGTTAAGAGGAAGGAACCTGCTCTGTTGTGTATGGAGAATCTACTCCTCGTCCTCGTCGTGCAGGTCGTCCAAGACGTCGCTCGTCTCCTCTTCGCTCTCCTCCTCCTCCTCGCCAATCTCCACCGGCATAGGCATAGCGCCGATCTCGGAGCGCTCGTACTTCAGCTTACCGTCTACCAGCACGTAGTTGCCTTGGTTCGACGTCTCGGCGTGCTCATCGTGGTGGCTGTGGCCGTGGTCCCACGGGTGCTCGAAGCCCTACAATGCATTGATATTTTAATTAGTTAATACATTGTGGTGAGAAACCATGGGGTTTATAACGTACCAGCACGGCGAGACCGTCTTGTTTTGCTCGCCAGAAGACCCAGAGCCAGAGCATCGTGCCGTAAGCCAGCGCTAGGTTCTTGTGCACGGGGCTCACGTGGAAATGCATGCCGTGAGGGTAGTTGTGGCCGTGACCATGCGCCGAGGACATGGCGCGGCGGCCCGAAACGGCAGCCAGGCGGCGAGCGAGGAAACCGGCAGCGCGCATGATGGTAGCTATATCCCGTTCCGCTGGTCTGGGCTCCCTGTAAAATGAGCGGCGGAGAAGAGATGCATATGATTGGAAGAAAAGAAAATGTATTTTGGCGAATGGGTGGTGTTTGTTTTGAGAGTATCACTTCAATGCCGGGTACTTTGTTGTCTGATTTTCTAACACCCTCGCAACTAACAACCCTAGCTCATTTTTCTATTTGCAATAATTGATGCGGAAATGCTTTTGAAATACATTGCCTGGAACAGCCCGCATGGGCTTTACGAGAGCTTTATCAAGGAGGTGTTAGCCAGCAATAAAAGTTGGTACACAAGTGCACACGCACTGTCAAGGCCGCGCCCGCGCGGAGGAGCTCTGAAATCTACAACTCCACACTCTAACGCTGTGTAAATGGTAGACCATGTTTTTGCTCGTGCGCGGTGTGGCCGCGTCGTAAAGGAGAGTATTGTGGTTCGTTGATTTTTCAAACGTGGAGCTGGTCAAGTAGCGAGCAACAACAACAAAACTTCTATTGGATTACTTTTGCAAACATATCTGATTGTAATGCTATAATTCCTGAGAGTTAAGTGATGACGATCGAGGTAGTTTCAGTGATATTTTGTTCATTTACTCTTGACTTTATTTGTTCTCGTATCATGGTGATCAGGAATGACCCTGGACGGCATGCCCGATTGTGCTGCTGGTCAGCTTACACGGTTTTCGTGAACTGGTCTTGCATGCAAATACCTAGGTTGGGCTGTACCGGGAGATTCTTAGGTGAGAGCTCGAGCAGGCCGGAAAAATATTGATATTCATTAAACTATTGGGTATTACAGCAAAATAATTACTACTGGACAGGCCTGATCTCAATACAATAAAAATGACCCAATTATTGGCAATAAATTCATAAGAAAAAAGTCCGAGCAGAATTGGAAGAATATGTTATGTAATGCACCTGGTTGTATTCCATCATGTCGTGGTAAAAACAGTGTTTTATTCGTGGCCACTCAGTACAGTATAAGATACACGCTTGAGCTTGAAAAACCACAATATAAAATGAGAGAACTACGTACACAAGAGTTCACGCTTTGTCCAGAAACTAATATTATTACTAGTGTTGTGTTCTCTTACGTGGGTGTAGAACACTTTCGTTGACCTGAAATAGGAACTACAGTTTCAAAGGTTTGATCTCAACACATTCTAAACCTTGTATAGCATATTGTTACTAGACAATTTAAAAGTAGATATGATCAGGTTTTAGAGCTTAGAGCTCGAAGCTGTTTGATCTGTACATTAGGTAACATTTTCTCTTCTAGTACCAAAGTATTGGCCATGTTGTGAAAATGAGTAAAACAAATTAATAGTAAACTGCTGCAGTATTTATTATTGCTGAAAACAACAATGCAATATTTATTATTGCCAAGCAACGGTACGCTTTTTTTTTTACTCGTTACCGTAAATTTCGCTTAGTGAGTAAATTACAACGAATGTCGATTCAATGTCGAGCGAGCAGACGTGAGCTAGTTATACGCGATTGCAGAGAAATTTGCTAGCAATTGTATTGATATCACTAGAGTCTACATCTTGAAGTTAAATTATCGCGACATTCAGACCTTCAAGCGACAATTGCTTGGGTGATTTGAATGTTATTGAGGGTTTATTAAATATCACAATGCGGTTTTGAGCCATTCAGATCTACTCGATTTTCTGATTTTAGAGCTACATTTGGTTTGAGCGGAAAGTCTGATCGCCGAGATACTCTGAAAATAAATTTCAGAGAACACTACAATATCGTCAAAGGATTAATTGTGCAACAGCGGGAAACATATTATAGAATTGCGAATTTGGTCAGTACTTGTATGCGTTGACACGAGACCGTACGTGCGCTGTTTCGATTTTATGGTAAATTTATTCCTTGGACGGTATGAATTTGTTAGAGGTGTGGTTGGGAGGATGAAATGGATGTTCAGTATTCACGACAGCGTTTAAGAGCCACAGCTGCGCTAGTATCTATAAAACAATGGGCTCCGAACTTGCATCAACTTAGCAAGAGTCTATAACAAACCAGAATGAACGCGTTTTTAAGTGGCGGTGTCATCCCACACGCGTAGCTCCTATCCTCCATTCATACTTAGTATGCATATAACAGTTGATGAAGTTCTGGTGTCTGTGAGCAGGTCAAGCCATTGCTTTAGCTGCCAGCGAGTGGATCGGGTGGCTTCGGCAAGTGCAGCAGCGTATTTTTTTTTATGGGCGATCAAGGACTGGTAAGAGCTAGCTGACGACGGTCCGAGCTGGCTGGACACGCCGGTTACAGTTAGCGATCTGCAGTTATCTGTCGTGAGCCTGCTTCACCACATCCCACCTGGTAATAGGACTCGAGCGTTACCAGTTTTTTTTTTTTTTTTTTTTTTTTTTTTACGTGTAATGTTGCTCATGCATTATACGCTATTGCCAAAAGTGGCGAGAATATCCACTTCATGTTATTAAAGTTGATCGAGTTGTCCGTATTAAGATCTCTTGCTGGATGTAATACTGCTGCTATCGGAAATTCGATAAGACGATCATACCACAAATATCGCATATGCGGGTTTGAACGTCGAGGCGGAGCTATAAAGTTGTCCTGTTTACTAGAAGTATTACAATCCTCGAATCAGTGTAGGCTAATTTGAAGTCTATGTACTGTAATTACTCGTGCCTCAAGAGTTTTGGAATACTTAAGTACCTGTAGGCTAGGTTTAATGTTACTCTGAAACTCTTAGCGAATTAATCGAACCTCAATTATTGTGAAATACTCTGTACTTTTGTTAACACGAATTGCCTGTAAAAGCCCGCAGTTTTTGGCTAATTTATACTGCAGGTCGAAGGACAACATATCCCCGTCTTTATATTTCTAAGCACTATCATACGTGGTTCGAAAAAGTAGCGCAAGGTGAACCGATCGGCGATGTCTCCTATTGTGCCTTTCCAAAGTTTTGGCCAATCTGACCTTTAAAGGCTGGTCCTAAGCAAGGGTGGGTAGGGCTAAAACTGAGGGCGTTTTGGCAGAAAGGCACAATACTTCATATCTCTTGATAGTGGGCCGTAAGCGCTCGCCGAGCATGTCCACTCGGGTCAATTTAAAGTCTATTTGTGTACAAGTTTAACTGTATCAGCATAAAATCGTCGTGAGAGGAGCTTCTATAATCTCACGATATTACGTGTTCGCCGTGAAATATGTACGGTATATCTGAACGTACTGTCTTTAATAAATTTCTAGTTACTTATATATTTTTAATAGATCCGGTCAAGCAAAAAGCAGCTGGCAAGATTCAATACAGCATATGTGCGGACATTGTGTGTGGTACACGTATGCCAGCACGTACCGTACTTCGAGTATACCTACAGTATGTATACGGTACGCATCATATTGTGTAATTAAGACAGAAGAGTTCGATTGCAATCCTTAATCGTTGTGGCAAAATTTGATCAAAGGAAAAATAACTAAATCGTATAATTTTAATTATTATAGTTATTCTAAATTTTGTATTTCGCGTACTTTCAATAATAAATATTTCTGTAGGATTAGAATCAAGACCCCACCGCCGCGGCGACCGCTTGCTGAGAGAAACTTCTGGATTACTGTATTATTAATAAATGGTAAGGTACGCATCGCCCCTGTCCTAAGCGAACACCCATATTTCATAGGATTACTAACAATCTCAGAATTAGACGCTAAAAAGTAAGAATTATTCCAACACTAAATGATAAGGATAGTATTGTGAATTCCGTCCAAATTTGCCGATTTGGGTCTGTTTGAGGAGCGGGAGGACAATCGCCCTCTTACAAATCCAAGTCATTAGTAGAACCCACCAAGTCCACATGTCATGATCTTATTTCGTACTTAAACGGGTCGGTATACGGTATTGTAAACGCTGGGCGATTACCGCCCATGAAAATTTTTGAGTAAAACTCACAATAAAGGGATCGGAATCGAAACAGTTGCTTATTCCATTTGAGCTGGCAAAATAAGGTGGTGTTTCATGTAAAGTGGATCGTCGTCTGGGCTAATAGGCATGTATGCATCGTCATTATTGGCTGTCCTAGATTTATCTAATGTAGCTGATTCAGAAGCTCGCGAATGATTGTGCGCTTCTTGTATGCCCTCACCCAATGATTCCAGGAGAGAGCAATTGGCATAGTTGGCAATTATGTTAATTGTTCTCACCCAGGGTGAACGGCTCTGGTATTTCTCTGATATATTATTCGCTCCCACTGTTCTTTTTCGTGGCATCAGTCTATAATTAGTTCGCTGGTATGCATTTTACCTGTCGCCATCTGTTTAAGATGCAGCTCTGCCATTGGTCGTAATCGGGATTCGCTTAGGAGAAAACTTCGCTTAGGACAGGGGCGATGCGGTACACATCACCTGTGGTACACAGGCTGTGGAGCAGGATAACTTCCAACCATATGGACCGCCCGAAAGTACAAAAGTACATCGCAGCGAATATGGGATATGATTTCGGATTTGACAAACCGGCTCCTTCCTACTGGTATTTATCTTCAAAGATCTAAATTGGTACTACATGTAGTATTTATCACTACAGTATCACGGCGAACATGCAACCAGTCTAGAAAACCTAAACGCGTACTGTAAACAACCGCCTGAATGCGACGCACGGCGTCACACCGTAAAAAAAAGATCAAATCAAGAAAAGAAAAGGTGCAACTGCTGGAAATATGGAGATGACAGCACCCCTTAATACTCAACTCTTTATGAAAATCTCGTCAAATATTTTCTAATCTCCACATGTTTGCATTTAGTGGTCAGATTTCTTTTTTACCGAGTAAAAAGTCCAACGTTTGCGAACATATACATGAGAGGAACTCTTTACACCTGTCACACCTAGGTCGTGGTTAACGGTAAACAGATTTTACGCAACATAGTTTTGTCAAGTACATCTGCAAAAGACATTACCAAATTATGCTTCTTTTGATATGCTACTATGTTCTGTAAAAGAGAGTGGTTGCTGCTCCAGACTGGGCTTATACATGTAAAAAAAAAAAAACGCAGCCAATTTGCAGCCTTTGGCAAGCGTTGGCACGTATTAATAGCTTCCAGCGATCGTAGGGCCGGTGTTGTAGTATGATTAAGGACATTAGTGAAGAGGCTGCCCACTCCGTCAAACCTAACAACATCATAACGGACAAGGGAGCAGCGTTGTAGTGTTTTCGAGCTGGCGCAAAGTTGAGTCTGTATACAGTAATAACCCTTATTAGGCATCTTTTAAGCGCCTTAAACCTTAATAAATATCTCAAATTGCTCCCAGTCTCCCAGTCTGGAGCAGCACAAGTGAAAGCACCTGGTCTATGCATCCAGCTGCATGGATCGCATTTTTGTTAATGGTCAAACCATAAGCAGCCTTTTTTATTCTGTGCGGTAAGCCGTATCACAACCACTACAACGAGTGGATTCATTCCAGAATTTGCTACGTAGCATCCACTTGGTTAAGGCCCCCGTGAACAGTCCTGGCAACTATGTGGGCATACATGGTCCTGCTGGCTTCAGCTGTCCTCCTTGTGAGCATGGCGAGTGCGTCGACACAAATGAAGCCGGCGAATATTGCATCCCTTGGCGTGATTCAGCCGGACAACGCAGCTTCGACTCGTAGCGATGATGAACGGTTTCTAGGAGCCCATAAGACGGATGATGGAGGAAAGAACATTGGCAGCTACAACACAGGCAGCGAAGAGAGGGAATTCCAGAGTGCCGCTAAAGCAGCTAGCACAAAACTAACAACGAAACTCGGTACAGAATGGAAAAAGATAACGAACAAGGACTTCCGGAATTTGCTGCTGTTTCTGGACGAAAAAACTACCTTCGCGAAGCTTTACAGAAAGGGAGCAACCCCTTTTAAACTATTCACTGAGATGAATCACCGTGGTATTCTCAAGGAAGGCGTGATTAGTGTCAGGTGGAGCAACTACATGGATTATTGGGTGAAGAGGAATACTGGACTGATTTAAAAGGTGGCAATCTAAATTGCTTCTCAATACTTCTCTGGCCCGTTTCAAAATGACGCTTTCATATATTTACCGATAATTTTGAAGCCTGACCTCGGCAGAAAGCGGTAAGCACACCATTGAAAAGCCCCCGGTTTAGCGCACCTGAGCATATATTTTTTGTTGCACTAGCAACAGGTACGGATGAGCACCATGCGCTCAAACTCTCCGCAGTTTGAATTCCATGAGGTAATATTTAGCGATATTACACCTAAATTTAAGGACGATTAAATTAGACGATTGGCTTCCATAGGATGTACCCGTGCACGCAGAAACGAATTAGAAGCTCTAAAATTTGGACGCAAGAGGGTGAGGTCTATTTCCAAAATCCGGGGCATAACGGCGAGCCACCAATTAAAATGAACCAATCAGAAGAGATATAAGAATTAACCTAATATTTATGCTTTCCAAAACATGAAATTAGCTATTGAACTTAATTATGAATCGAAAAGCTGGCTGTACCCTTCTAATACGGCATCGGTTGCAACTTTCACCGACATAGGCATCTTGCCATTGACTGCTACGAGTTTGCTCACTTGAAGTCGTTGCCGCCACCACAACGCAA